TTAGAAATCAATATTTATTTATAATTTTCATTACTTTTTTTTTTGAACCAAACGTTTAAAGTTATTTATTAATATTATACTATCATTGTTTTTAAAAATTTAAAGGTGTTAAACCCTAACAGGAGAGCCTAAACCCTCATAAATGCATGTAACTATTAAAACCAATACATAAACCCTAAACTCTAGCATTAAKGTGTAAATTTAGATACAAAAACYTAAATTTGATATTTTCGTATAACAACTTGATCGATGAGCTTACACTTGAATTTATTTMGTTTTYTCTCTAGTTTCATGTTCAAATTTAAATAATATTTTTTGCAAAAATAATATGCATTGTCTTCTCCTTCGGTGGAGCACCTGGTCTTTACTCTGTTTAGCGCTAATTGTTTGAATTGGGTTTCAGATCCTTCGTACGGGATCGAATTTGTCTAGCATAAAACCTTTGACTATGATACATAATAGTTGTTTTGCGAGTAGAAGTTTAGTTCTCTTGTAAGTTAGATAAACGGCTGATTAATATTTTACTTGATGAGTAAATAAACTTCTTCACAAACATAACTGAAGGTGAAAGATGATCCGCAAACAACAATTGATCAAGATCTTCTACACAACCTCGTAATGCAAGATGGGATTTCTCCTTTCTCCTCATCTTTTAGAGCATTGCTAAGGCTCTCTTTTGACAATTGCTTTCCATGTGCCTCTTGGGTTGTAAGCATCTATTTCATTTTTCGCTTTCTTCTCTTGTATATATACTCATGTTTTTTAATTTTAATCTCCCGATGTTATTGATTTTTTATGTGTTTGTTTTCTTTATTATCTTTCCTATTCAATATACTCTTTCATTTTCTCTTAGTCTCTCTTTTTCCTTCTCAAAAGCTTCTTATTCTTACGCATGATATGAATAACATAAACAATATTTTAAGATTGTAAGTTAATCCAATCAATTATTTATTTTAATTAACAAACACGGTCGGTACCCCAACCCATGTGCCTCGTCTCTTACCCGCATTCCGTCTCAGCCTTTACATGTCCCCTCCTAAGTTTTAATCCATGTCCAACGCAGGCATTAGAGCATCTCTAATGGTAGTATAAAGAGAGTATATAACAAAGTTTCTAACTATTAAAATAAAATAAATAGGAGAGGGTGAGAATTGGTTCTAACATATAAACCTCATCAGAAACTTTTGAGACACTTGTATCTTTATGAGTGGCTTAATTTTCTTTTTTTGAATTAAAATTTAATTATATAGTTGAATTATCGTCAAATATAAAGTTTATAATGTTGATAAACTCTTGTAAGAAACTATATATTATTGGAAATGCTCTTACGTTGTAAGAATCAAATTTTATTTTATATAAATCACTAATTTTTTACTGTATGTATGTCTACCTTTAACATTTATACCGAAGTAAAACAAATTGAAATGAATA